TTATTCTTATACTTGGCATTTCATATTGTTTCCTTTTGTAGCCACATAATAAACGATGTAAAGTAATTTGAATGCGTTAAATATTTGACAGCTATTTGTATTATGAAGCACCAAGCTCGTGGTATTGACTGGAGCAGGAATTAGCACTGAAAGCGGAATTCCTGATTATAGAAGGTTATCTCTCTTGTTCAGCTTGTTTTCAATTGGACGTGTAATGTTATAAACTCCTTTTCTTGCAATAGCAGTACTTGACATCTAGCATCAGGCAACTTTTCCTTAGGTTCCAGCCCCACGTAACTTATAGATTGAATTTGATTTAACAGTTTAACTTACTAACTTTTTTGAAAATTATTAGTTTTTTTTTTAAAAATATTTTACATGTAGGCATAAAAAGCAGGTAAAGAGTTGTAGATCATTAATTATTTATTCTCTAGTTTTTCTTCAATCTTGTGCAAGTTCTCTTCCTCTAAGTGGCATTGCATAATGGGTTTATGGTTGACAGATGTTCTGTTGATTGGTCATTCTCTGTTAACGGTTTTTTTCAGGATCTTGATATTTGGAAATTGTTATGAATTTCAAATGCTTTTTTTTGAAATTATAAAAAAATTATAAGATGATTCTTTTGCGGAGCTAATTGAGGAAACAAGAAACACTAGCAAACTGCAAGGCAATATTTTTGCAACAAATTACATTTCCTAAATGAGGGTTTGAAATGTCAAGGTTTTCATTCAACTATTTTTTTCCTGCTATCACTTATTTCTGATTTCTTCTCATGCATCACAAATGAACCAGAAAATACAGGTCCTCGTAAGTACCTATGCTTCAGAAAATGAGAAATTAAAAATCCTCTTTCAAAATCAATATGTAGTAACTCCTATGAAGACCTCCTCGTTTAGTACTGTTATACTTGGTAATTATTTGTGGAGACCTTTTCATTTTGTTACCCATTTGGCTGTGTCACCAGCCTGCTAGGCTCTAAACTAGACATGGTTCAGATCCTCTCAAGATTGTTCACACCAAAAAGTTGTGCAGTTCTGATTTCCCTATTTCCTTCCCAATGATCAAGGTTTATTTTGTTTCCCAATTATTCTCAATAACAAGTTTCTTTTCTTTTCCAGTCCAAATGGAGCTTATAGTACTGGTTTCAAGCCAATAACCCATCAGGTGATTGTAGAAAACAGAGAAACTCTCTGTTATTTTATTCACACGTTCATTCAGTAGAACATATTACATATTTATATACAAATTATGTCTCTAAACTAGGAAACACTAAGTTAGGAAAGATACTAATCCTGGGAGATGTAATCCCTTGAAATAAGGGATTGAAAAACAAAGAATAATTACAGAATCTCAACTTAAGGGATTGACATCTCATTTCTATAATTCCTACAACTTTACACTTGCATAACTTACACTCCCCCCTCAAACTGGTGTATATATGTTGTATATACCCAGTTTGAATGACAACTCATCAAAAGTCACTCGTGGAAGGGCTTTGGTGAAGATATCTACCAGCTGTTTCTTCGTCGGAATGTACTGTAGCTTTGCAACTCCATTGTTGACCTTCTCGTAAATAAAATGTCTGTCTATCTCAATGTGTTTCATTCTATCATGTTGCACTGGGTTTTTTGCTATACTCATAGTTGATTGACTGTCACTAAAAATCTCAAAATTCTTCTTGTCATCTAAGTCCAGTTCTGTGAGCAGTCTTTTAATCCACATTCCTTCACATATTCCTAGAGTCATTGCTCTAAACTCTGACTCAGCACTACTTCGAGAGACGACGACTTGTTTCTTACTTCTCCAAGTCACTAAATTACCCCAAACGTAGGTACAGGAGTCACTAACTGACCTTCTATTAGTTAATTCACCTCCCTAGCTTGCATCCGTATAAACCTTCACTGTTCTGTCTTGATTTGTTTTCTAAATATAAGTCCACCTCCTGGGGTAAACTTCAAGAACCATAGAATTCTGTTAACATCTTCCAAATGTTCTTCTCGAGGATCACTCATATGTTGACTGACAATGCTCACTGAGTATGTAATATCAGGTCTAGTCAATGAAAGGTAGATCAACTTCCCAACTAACCTTTGGTAGGTTTCCTTGTTTACTGGATTTCCAATCCTTTCCTAGCAAAATTTCAAGCCTGGCACCATTGGAGTTTCAACTGGTTTGCAGTCGATCATCCCAGTTTCTGCAAGAAGATCCAAAACATACTTACGCTGGTTTATGACCAGCCCTTTCTCAGACCTTGCAACTTCCATACCCAGTAAATACCTCATACTCCCTAAATCCTTGGTTTCAAACTCCTTTGCTAGATTCATCTTTAGCTTTTCTATTTCTTCTATATCACTGCCAGTTATAATCATATCATCTACATAGACAATTAGGAGGGTTATCTTACCACTCGATGTAATTTTTCTGAATAACGTGTGATCCGCTTGGCTTTGTTTGAAACCATTCTTTGTCATAGCCTTAGCAAATCGATCAAACCAAGCCCTGGGAGACTATTTTAAGCCATATAAGGATTTATTGAGCTTGCACATAGTTTTCTTAGTGACCTTTCCTTCTAATCCGGGGGGACCTCCATGTATACCTCTTTTTCAAGGTTCCTATTCAGAAAAGCATTCTTTATGTCCAGCTGATGCAATTTCCAGTCCATGTTAACAGCTACTGATAACAATATTCTGATGGTATTCAATTTTGCAACCGGTGCAAAAGTCTCCTGGTAGTCGATGCCATAGGACTGAGAAAAACCTTTAATAACCAGCCTTGCCTTGTATCTTTCCACACTCCTATCTGAATGATATTTGACTATGAATATCCACCTGCATCCAACATATCTCTTCCCTTCTGGCAAATCTATCAAACTCCATGTCAACGCTTTTATCTCCTCTTCCACAACCTTTTTTCACCCAAGAGATTGAAATGCTTCTGTCACATTTCTTGGGATTTTCACACTGTTAATGCTGATAGTGAAGGCCCTGAAATTAGACTGTAATTTCCCATATGCAACATACTTATTTATGGGATGAGCATTACATTTTTTTACCCCATTTCTAATAGCAATAGGAAAGTCATCAAGATCAACAGTAGTAGCCTCTTGGTAACCATCATTACCTTATGTTTCAGCTGCAACAGGATCCGAATCTGGTTCTTGGCAAATACTATGCTGACTGATTTCTTCAGCAATAATTTTCCTTCTTCTTGAGTAAACACTGAGTTGTTTCGGTTGGGGAGTTATGGTTTCAGGGTCATTGTTAGGTGCATTTTTGGTAGTGGTGGAAGGTGTTTTGCATGGACTAGAGTGTTGAGATAAGGATGAAGGTAATTCATCAGAGTTATTTAGGTTATTCACATCACCCTCACTATGAACTGGGACAGTGCTAGCCGGCTTTGGAGAGACAGTAATAGGTAAAGAAATGATAGACTGTAAAGAAATATTGGTTTGAACAGGCTGAAATTCCTTGTAACTCTCCCTCTGAATTTTTGTTCATGAAAAATAAGGTTGGTTTAAAAAAATGTAACATCAAAGGAGACATAGGTCTTTTTGTGGAAGGTGAGTAACACTTGTAACCCTTCTGACTCGAAGAATAGCCCAAGAACACACACTTTATGGACCTAGGATCTAATTTCCCTCTGTTGTGGATATGAACAAAGGTTGTACACCCAAACACGCAAGGAGAAAGACTTGAGTTTAAATGTTTAAAATGGGGGAAAACCTAAAATAGAACCTTAGTAGGAATTTTGAAATCTAAAGTCTTACTTGGCATTCTATTAATGAGGTAAGTGGCTGTAAGAAGAGCTTCCCCCCGAAGATACTTAGGAGCATTAGCAGCAAACATAAGAGACCTAGTAACTTCTAGAAGATGTCTATTTTTCATTTCTGCTACCCCGTTTTGTTGAGGCGTGTTGACACAAGAAGTGAGGTGAACAATGCCTTTTTCCTTAAAGAATACCCAAGGGATTTATTCAAATATTCATTCCCATTGTCACTCTTTAGAATTTTGATTTTTGTGTGATAAAAACTTTTAAAGAGAGACTCAACCTCAGACTTTTCTCTCATTAAGAATACCCATGTTGTCCTAGAGTAATCATCTATAAAAGACACAAACCACTTATACCCAGAAATACTTTTGACAAGAGAAGGGCCCCAAATGTCACTATAGATGATGGAAAAAGGTGTTGTTGGTTCAAATTTGGCAGCAATATATGGTTTTCTAGTGTGTTTGGCTGTTTGAAAAATTTCACAAGAAAATAAAGATGGAGTGAGAGAAGGTCCCGCCTCTCTCTTGGTGTATTCTTTTTTTTTCAAACCCGATTCCCTCTCCTTTCTATCTTGGTTGGGAATTTTGGTGGCCGTACCACTGCTATCACCATTCGTTTTCCACTGTCACCGTTCACCGTCCACCATCCACCATCGCCGTTCCCCGTTTTTCTCAGGGAAGATCGTCTGCTTATGTAGATTCCAAATATGATCTTAGATTTACAAAAATGTCTTTCAATCGGCGCACATCTTAACTTTGTTCACTATCGATTTTCACCGCCAACCTCCATCCGTGTTTGATACCATTTTAACACCAAGATCTGCATCTTTTAGTGATCAAAACCCCCTCATCATAGAGTCGAGTTTCGTTGCTGCTCTACGGGTGTTCATCATGAGGGGTTCATTTTGGGTTCATTCGCTATGCAACAATTTAAGAAGCAAGGAAAACGATATCAATGATGAATGGTGCTCATATTTACGAAAACAAAATTAGAGTCTCTTTGGCCAAATATAATCCTCGACAGTCTTATTGGAGAAAGTCCTCAACGGTTGTTCAACGTAAGTCTGGGAATGAAGTTGGTTCGAGGAATAAACACGGTGAAGTTGATGATATTGTGGAAGAAGATAAATTTCACGTGTTGAGTAACTATCTTGTGGGCTGGTGCAAGAGCTTCATCAAAATTGGTAATCTTGCTAACCAAATACAAGCCAAAGGACTCCTGGTTTCACGCTAATGAGAGCTGCTAGAAATGTAGTTTTAATGGTTTTTGAAGACTCTGATTCATTGATCAGTGTGAAGAATGATAAATTAGAGACTCTTGTAAAATGGTTTTCTAGAGTTGAAGCTTGGTCAGAAAGTATGGTGGTGGAGTGCCGCCACGTGTGGTTAGTTCGCGAAGGAGTTCATTTTCACGCTTGGAATTGGGATACTTTCAAAAACATTGCAGCTAAGTGGGGAAAATTATTGTAATCGACAACAGCTGTGAGTTTCCATCGTATTTTGATTGGGCAAAAATTCAAATACTCACAAAGGCTCAATTAAGAATTGATGAGTTGTTGGAGTTGAAGGTCGGTGCTAATTTATTCAAAATCATGGTGCAAGAAATTGTTCCTTCCTTCAGACCAAATTATTGGGTCCCTGAAGATTGCGATATTTCATTAGAACTTATTCATTCAATTGGATCGTAACTGTTCAGGAGCTCTATTCAGAGGCGTTTCTTTTAGTTTTAATGATAACAAGTGTTGGTTTTTTGTTTTGTTATGTTCTTTTACTTTGTTTTGTTATGTTCTTTTACGTTGTTTTTCTTCCTTTTGCTTAAGGTGTATTTTAGAAATTGGGTTATTATCTTTGGGGCCTTTTTGTTGACGATGGGAGATTTTTAGGTGTTATGGTTTTTGAAATGATGTATATTTCCTTATGAGGGTATTCAGTGTTTTCACATGTACTTGGTGTTCTATTTAATAAATTATGAGGCACTCTTTTCTTCCTTCCAATGTTCTTTAACATACTTCTTAGTATGTGGAAGAATACGAAGGGAGTTTTTAATGAGACCTTAAACTTTTATTAAAAAATAAATAAGTTCGGTAACATTTTGGAAAGATAGAAAAAATTAGGATGACCTAATCTAGAGTGCCATAACATAATTTTATTGGTATTGAGATCAGAAGATAAAATTGGTTTCCTAAGAGCACTGGATAAGGCATGATTATGAGATGCTTTACCTCCAAGGGTGTACAATCCTTTGCCCAACCTAGCACTGCCAATCACCCTCTTCGAGCCCTATGCCTGAAAAATGCAACCACCAGTACCAAACACAACATTACAACCAAAATCTTTAATTAATTTGCTAACTGACAACAGATTGCATGCAAGTCTAGGAACATAGAGGACATTATGAAGTAGTAGATTTTTGTTTGATGTAACAAAACCACTCCCTTTGACTGTAGTGAGAGAGCCATCTGCTATTTTGATAGAAGCTGGTAAGCTGCTTTAACTATATTCCTCCAAGAGATCAATATTTCCTATCATATGATCTGATGCACCCGAGTCTATAATCCATTATATCGAGGAAGCATATGGATTATTTCCATCAGTAGCAGTATAAGTCACATTGCTAAGCTTGGCTGTCATACTGCTCAAAATCTGCTGTAGCTCATCTATCTGTTTCTTGCTAAAACTGCTTGAGGAATCATCTTGAGATGTAATATGGGCCTCCTTTTGAAACCTGGACCGTGTGGGCTACCAATCGGCTAGTTTTCCGTGCAGCTTCCAACATTGATCTATCATATGGCATGGTTTCTTACAATGTTCACACCAGAGGCGATTTTTCCTCTGCTGCTCTGAAAATATGAAATCTAAAAATCTGATTGAGAGGGGCTGGTCTGGGAAGTGATTTCGGATGCTGAGGGACCCGAATTAGCCATGAAAAAATAGAGTTAAACAGGAATTTATTTAAAGAGAAGCGAAAATCGGATTGATCGCTCTAACCTGATACCATGTAGAAAACAGAGAAACTATCTGTTATTTTATTTACACATTCATTTTGTAGAACATATTACATATTTATATACAAATTATGTCTCTAAACTAGGAAACTCTAAGTTAGGAAAGATACTAATCCTAAGAGATGTAATCCCTTGAAATAAGGGATTGAAAAACAGAGAATAACTCAACTTAAGGGATTGACAGCTCATTTCTATAATTCCTACAACTTTACACTTGCATAACCTACAGTGATGTGCATGCATGCTTGTGAGTATTGAACAAATAAACACTAGGAGTCTAGTTAATATGCTATTCAGCTAAAGAGTTGAAGAATTCCGATGCATTGTTTGCTTAAAAGTAACTTGTGATCTTTCTACTTATAATTGATTTCATTACTAAATGCGGGAAACCAAATTTATGGACATGTGTAATGCCCAAGTACACAAAACCAAATTTATGGACATGTGTAATGCCCAAGTGCACAAAACCAAATTTATGCAGTAATTCACTATTAATTGGTTTTCTATAAGTAATGCATGCATTTCAATTTCTAACTATTTTCAATTTTCTTTCACCAGGAGTTTGTACTTCAAGTCGTGCCCCTAGGCGCTATTGGGAAAGGAGCTATGCTGGCTGGAGGCGGTTTACTGCAGAACAGCCTGGTGCTGCACATGTTGCTTTAGCATCTCTAGAGCAAGCTGGCCGAATAAATTTTATGATAACACATAATGTTGACAGGTAAGAAACTATTTTTCTTCATCTCTTATTCACAAGAAATGGTGATGGCACTAATTTAGCAAGATTATATTCCAAGCTGCATCATAGTGCTGGGAGCAACCCTCTTGAATTACATGGGACCGTTTATAGTGTGATTTGCTTAGATTGTGGTTTTTCCTTTTTTCGAAATTTATTTCAAGATGAAGTGAAGGTCCTTAATCCAAAGGTTAGTCTTCTAGATTTAATCACCCTTAGCAATGCCCATCAATCCTCTTATACTCGCTGTCAATTAGTATTGTAATACACTAAGAAAGATTGCGAACTCCGAATAATTGACCCTATATGTATTTTGGTTTTTGGATTCCAGTCCCAAGTATTGGAAGTTCTGATTAACTGAAGTCATACATTATGTGTTTTCAATTTATACTCAGTTGATGACATGGGAGTAAGATGGTTGACGAAAGTGAGTGACCTGGAAGTTACTCTTCAATTCTAGTCCAATTTTAACCAAACTATCTAAAGGAACACACTATAACATTTTAAAGAGGTTTAGAATTTAAATTAACTGATTGAAACTTGATAGACTAAATGGAACTTTATGCTAAGATGCAGGATTACCAGTGCATCTTGTAGACACCTGTTTTTGTCCGAGTATCGATTTTTTTAATTATATTATTATTATTATTAATTAACTAATTTATATTTTTTGTAGGCCCTAATCCAAGCCCGGATTACAAGCCCACCAATTAGCCCCAATACACCAACCCAACACCCAATACACTAGCCCAACAACATAACCCAAGCCCAACTGGAATCCAGATGACCCAACTACCAACAAACCCGACCCAAATCGGCTCGAGATCCAGGACCAACATCCAACCCAAAATCTCTTAGGGTTTTTGATGATTTCCCAACCCCACCTCCAACAAGCTGTTGAATCTGGACCCAATCAACGGTCCAGATCACCCTGAAACTAGCGTTTCACCCTAATGGACATCAGCTCAGCCACCAGCTCTCGGTGTTTCAGCTTCCTAGCCGAACTTCCCGAGCTGCGATCAGAGCCGATCAGAACACATCATCAACAGTGACCATTTTCTGTGCCAAATCAATCAAGAAGTCAGAAAATCCCTAAAAACTCTTATCAAATATAGGATATTATTACCCTATATAGAGACATCATATCCATCAACAGCCGTCACCAATCACGGAAAAAACTTAAAAAAAAGAGAGGGTAGAGGAGATCAGGGGCATTCGGTGAGAAAGGGGGAACCATTTTAGAGAGAGAATCGGGGAGAGAAAAAATACAGAGAGCATTCGGGTTTTTTTTTTAAAAATGAAAAGGAAAGGGTGAGAAAAGAGGGGGTTTACCTTGAGTTTAGAATATCCTCCGTCGTGGGCTTCACCGAGACCAAAGCAAGCCACTATATCAAAGGTAAAACACCTTTTAGCCTTTTGAAAGGGGATGTTTCGTGAGTTTTTAGGGTTTAAAGAAGAGAGTTTGAGTGTTTTTTTTTGGGTTTTTAGGATAGAGGAGTAAAAAGGGGGATTCCTAGAGGCGTTTTCTCCCCGTGGGCACCGATCTACAGTGGCTGGGGAATGGTGATTTCTTCTCTCCACAGCGGAGAACAAACAAAGAGGGGAGGGGTGAATTTGAGAGCGTTTTGGCTCTCTGATTTTTGAAGAGAGAGAAGAGGGGATGAGAAAATAAAACTTTGGCTGAACTTTGGGCTTTAAATACCAAACACAAAACGACACCGTTTAGGGGGATCTATTTGTAATTTTAGCGTGGGTAAATTACGGTTGGGGGGTCTCTGTGTTTTGGAAAGTTTGTTATGAGCACTTATTGTAGTTTATTTATGTTATATTTTGTGCACCATGTTTGTAAAGTTTGTATTGGTCACTAGGCCATCTATTGTTAATATTTTGTAAAGTTGTACATTATACTCTGTATTTATAAAAATTTTATTTTGATCACTGCTTCTGTATTTTGGTTAAATACTGAATATGACATGTTTGTTTACTTTCATGATATTTTAGTCCTTTATTTGCTATATGAAAATGGAAATTTACATAACTAGTCTATGAGGTATTCCTGATGTATACTTTAGTCACTATTTGGCAGTTGGGTTAATTGTTGTTTGGTCCTTTATGTTTCTGTTCATTTTATTTTGGTTCCTAATATTATTTTTGGGTTATTTGCATTTATAGTACATGTATTGTTTAATATTTTATTTTTAGCTCTGGATTATTTTTATTTTCTATTTAGTCCCTTAAGTTTATATTCTTTGCTATTTTAGTCCTTTAAATGTCTATTTTTGCTATTTTAGTCCCTTAAGTTTTTGTTTTTTTACTATTTTAGTCCTTTAAATGTCTATTTTTATTATTTTAGTCCCTTAAGTTTCTGCTTTTGCTATTTTAGTTCTTTAATTTCATGTTTTTGCTATTTTAGTCCCTTAAATCATTGAATGAGCTTATTTATATTGTTTTTATTTTAATATGTAATATTTTCTAATATGTATTTTAGTCCTTTATATTGAATATTTATTTTACGTATTACGTAGTTATTCTTATTGTATTTAATAAATATGTTTAGCTCCATTTAATGTAAATATTTTATTTCGTATATTTATAGTTGCATTTATTTCCATTTGTATTTTTCTATTTATTGATGAATTTACTCGATTGTGTTTCAAGAACGTTATTTGTAGAATGGGCGTGGAAAACACCACTTGATGGAAGCGATGTAATCCAATATGACATTTGAACCAAATACGAACTTGAAATAAATCAATTGTATTTTGCTAATTATTAATTCATTTCATTTTAAGTTGAATATTGTAATGAATGTCTCTAAATAAATTTATTTCATTTCATGCAAATTGTTGATCTTCATTCTACATTTTATATTCGATTTACTTTTTTAGTTAATCAATTTATTTTTTTTGTATGTAAACATTGATTTTTTATATTCGATTTGTATAATTATCGATGAGGGAATATTTTTCGGATAAGAAATAGTCGAAATAGCTTTCTCAACGGAGGATTGCTAATCTCGAGATTTCTTTTCAAGTTAAAGAATTTTCTCTAATTAATTGATTCGAAGCAAATTAATTAACTTTAATAAAAGGATCAAGTTTCAACTTTATATTTGATTCATGATTTCCACCATTTACAACAACGTGTAAGCGACACAATACCAATTTTGGGCACTGTGGGGGTTGTTAATCCTTTCCCATGCGTAACCGACTCCTAAACCCATTTTAATCGAATCTTTGTAAACACAGACCATCATTTTGTCTTAAAAATGATTTTCTTAAAATTGTTTTTAAAAGATGTTTTTAGGTATTCACTCTACCTAACCCAAAGGTCGATGGTGTCTCTATTCAATTTAATTCAAATTAATCTAAAATCCGCCAATAATCCAAAATCTGCCAATTTTCCAAAATAAAAAGTCATAATCATTTTTAATTATCGTACTAACATTTGGATTTATATTTTCAGCTCTGTCAAGGTTGTGTCAAATTTTTTCCTTGTTTCGTTTTCCTTTTGAGTCAAAGGTAGGTATGTTCCTCCTCACACACATCACGTGCATTTGCGTAAAATAAGCTCTCGACATTCCAATTAAGTCAGTGTGAATGCTTTACTCTCGTAAGAATTTATTCTTCGTATGAATTTTAGCAAATAACCAATGGGATACGTACCTTATACCTTCGTAGGGATTTATTACTTATATGGGTATAAGGTAATGAATCCCCTTGAATTGAACTCCTTTCGTACGAAACCTGTAATGGGTGAGGATCGAGGGTCTGGAAGCCAAAGGGGGCACCGACATCAAGGACAATTCGAGTCCCCTTTTCCTGTTAGAGCCAAAACCATGCATATAGTGAATCGTAGAACAATCACCCTAGCTATAGTCATATCGAACCTCTGTTCCTCAGTTGGTACACAAAATAAGTGTACACAAAGGAGGAGCATTTCTGAACCTTTCCTTTTTGCTTTAAATTCTGTCGAATAAAAGCATGCGAACTAGATACCATGCGATTATGATTATTTTCTTGAGTAAATCATTTTGGGTAGAAAACATGTCTGGGTAGGATTACTATCTAATAAAAAAATCATTCTCGGGTAGATATCATGATCGGGTAGGTGTTATGTTTATATATAGATATCATTTTTAACTCTATTGATTATCTTGCTTGTACTAACTCATTTTTTTTTGTTTATATTATTTTTCATCATTCTTTGCATTGCATGGAATCATCATGACATAATGCGAAAAGTGCTGATCCGCAAGGGGATATTCGAGAGAAAATTTTTACATGAAGAGCAAAAAGTTTTCAATCAAGTAGTCGTATATATAGACATACACTGAAGGCTAAAAGAAGTTTAAAATACAAGAGTGAGACTTGCTCGAAGATCATGCAACATTCGAGAATGAAATGATGATCCAATGATCTGAGAAGAAATCCAATAGTAAATTATCATTTACCATTATTCCATTGCTAGTCATTAAGGAGCAACACACTTTAGCACCGTTGGAGCATTAATGGAGTTAGGTTACAGAACGCTTGAGGGGCATCATTTTCAAGAACGAAGATCCGAGACGAAGCAGTGATCTACTTCAAACTCAACCATATAAGCGAAGGCATGTCTGTAAAGTGGACTATCTTGTATTTTTGCATCTGCATTTGCATCTTGCATTTTGCATATGCATTTTATTTGTTATGCATTTTCACATGCATCATTCATAAAAACATGGAATTAATCCGTTGAGGATTCGATGAAGTGGTCCTAACCACATTGACAATTAAAAAAAGAAGCTGAAATCAATACGGTGAGAACTTGTTCAGCTGGTTGTATGGTTGAGCCTTCCAGGATGATCTGAATAAAGAGTCCCCATTCCATGAGGTTTATGATGCTGATGTCGTATTCAACTACCACATATGGGAAGCCCTAGACATTCCATTGAGAACTGCGAGGCACTGAAGTGCAAGATCCAGAACCTGATGTGTTCAGGGGCATGGATAATCAAAAAATTATTAGGGCATTGCATCTACCATTTGTATCCAGAGAGATTGTTTTGTTTGAACTCGTTTTTGTTCTTTCTTTAATATTTACTTAAATATTTTAATCTTAATGATTGTCTTAATGATTGAATTTATGCTACCTTCTAAGGTAGAATAATTGAACAAATTTTAATCTTTAGTTCTTTGAATATCGAATGAA